GTGGAGGCGGGGGTGGGGGCGGCGGCACTGCCAGATGCTGCTGTTGGTGGTGGACGGGATGGGGTTGCGGCGGAGGCTGCGCGTGAAGCATAGGCTGCGATTGATGGTAGGAGGGAGGTGGCAAAGGAGGTGGAGCGTAGGCGGGCGCTTGCGAGGTGGGGTTTTCCGCACTGGATTGCGTTCTCCCTGGTCCCTGGCCGGCCTGTGCCTTCCCCTTTCCAAAGGTGCGTCCTTTGGGTTTCCTTCCTGCTTGATTGTATTGGGCCGCCTTCCCCGTGGAATGGTCATGGGAGGCGTTGGCCGAAGACTGAGCGCCGTGATTAGCGTATGTCACCTCCAGAATGGAGGGATCTTCGTCCTTTATTTGCTTCCTATGACTCTTGGGGGGCTTTAGCGCACCAGCACCTCTCATGGCGATAGAGACTCTCCTAATACGGTTCCGTAACTCTGCCCATGTACCTCTCTGTGGATCGTCCAGCTGAAGATACTGTTTGGCCTGTTGGTTAAGTCCTTTCACTAGCGCTTCTCTGAAGGCGGGCACATTGTAGTTAACGGGGGCAACGGCGCCGTTCACTATCCCAGATACCCTCGCTAGCAGTTGCTTCCTAGCCAAATAGACCTCTGGATCGTCATAGGGACCTTGCTTTTCATTGTGAAAGATTTCGGTCAGACAATACTCAGGATTCAGATAGGTGATCACCTGCGTGATCCATGCCTCTCCTGTGGCTCGAACCAAGTTGCCGGAAGATATTGCTGAATTAATGTCAGCAAGGGCAGTTCCAGTGGCACACTTACGAGCCAACATGGTGAGATCCTCACCTTCCAACCCCGCATAAGAGGTGGTAGCGGTGGTGGCCCACTGCACAAAGTTCTTCTCGGTCAATGGACCGAGCTCTTCAGCAACGGCTTTGCACTCCTCCTGTCGCCAAGGGCGATTCTCCACGACAGTTTTCGTGCGTGGCCTGTTGTTGTTTATGGTCACCGTTTGATTAGTGACGCTCACCGGATTAACCGGAATGGGCTCCGTTGAGTCCGAGTCGTCCTCCGACTGCGAAGCCGGGTCCCGGTAGAGGTCCAGGTCATCCTGCTCAGTAGAGCCATCAGGATGCCTGGCAGGGCTCTCCGTATGGGAAATCCTGCCTCTATCTCTGGGCGTATCGGGCTCCTTTTTCCGGAGTGCGGGTTTCGAGCTAGGAGTCGGGCTAACCTCACCGGTAGGGTCGCGTTTGCGATCTAAGAGGTAGTCCGCAGTGGACTGTGCCTTTCTGAGCTCCTCAGTGACCGTAGTCAGAGCAGTCTCGGCTTGGGCGGCTTTCTCCTGTGCGGCTTTACACAAAAGCTTGGTCTCATGGACCTGGTCGGAGAGAGCCTTTTTGTCCATGACTAAATTGACTCGGTCAGTCCTAAGTTGCTGGATCTCATCGTCAGCAATCCTTTGGGACTCACTCAACTCTTCCTGAGATTCCAGTCTCCTCTGTTCCAACAGACCCTCATAGTGTGCCTTCTGGACATCCAATCTATTGGCGTGTTCAGATCGCTCCTTCTCAAGAGTGATCTGCAACTTTGCCACGTCCTCTCGAGCACGGGTCTCCAGGGACTTTATGTGAGCGGTCTGTTCTTCCCTGAGGATCCTTATCTCAGATTCATGTCCGTTTCCCAGGACTGTTCGCAACTGGGCCAGATCCTCTCTGGCGCGCTCCTCAAGGGAGTTTAAGCGAGCAACCTGTTCATCCCTAAGGATTCTAATCTCGGACTCGTGTCCGGCTCTCATGGATGTCTGCAACTGTGCCCGATCTTCTCGAGCTTGCTCCTCGAGAGACCGTATACGTGCAGCCTGCTCCTCCTTGAGAGTTCGGACCTGGGAATCGTGCGCTTTCCCTAGGTCTACCGCCAGTTTGGCCAAGTCCTCTCGAGCGAGCTCCTCTAGGGACTGTATATGGGCAATCCGTTCTTCCTTAATTAGTCTGATTGTGGATTCGTGTCCAGTTTTCATGAGCACTATTTGTTGGTCCCTCTCACTCAGTTGTGCCGCTTGATCTGCAATGCGATCTTGAGCCGTGCGCAACTGACTTTCCTTTTCGGCCAGTTGAGCCTTCAGAACCTTGGTGTGGTCCTTGAATGCATCCAACTGTTTGGCCGTCTCCTCCAGTTCATGATTGAGGGATCCTACTTGCTCGCGGGCGGACCCTAACTGGTTATCCTTGTCGACTATTTGGTTAAACAGAGCCTCGATATGGCCTTGCGCTGCATCTAGCTGGGCCATCCAGCTAAGCTTCAGTCGTTCCCATGCTTGTCGGGAGGATACCCATCCTAGTCCGAAGAATAGCACAGCTGTGAGAGTATGCCAAAACATTGGCAGCCAAATGGTGGACGAATCCCACCAAGCGGCAGACTCCAGCACATTGTGCACGAACTGTAGGAACGTATCCTGGCCGTGACTGAACATTGGCGACTGTGCACCCATGATTGGTGTGCGGGGGTAGTGCTCACTCGCGGGTATCTTACAGTGGTATCCGGGTGTCCGAGATGGCTCACGCCGGGTCAGCTGCAAGTATAACCTCGGTGACGGCACTAATTCAGGCAAAAGGGTTTACCCTTTGCACGTGTGGATTTTCCGAGTTAAAGAACGCTGTTCTTCCTCACGGGTTATCCAAGAACCGTGGACGGTGTGACCTTTGCGATCGCACCACCCGTTTAGATCTCTGGCAAACAGGCGTACAGAGATCAAGGCTGTACCTGAGGGTATTTCAACCCTAGGTAGCCTGAGTTTCAGGCTTTGCGGATAAGGAAGAGCTACTTCCTTTCCAGGAGCAACCAGAACCTGGACCGTAGTCCTTGAAGGGTGTTGGAATTCCGGGGGGATCAGTCCCGTTTTCCCTTGGCAGACCCAACTGCGCCAGATAGTGAGGTTTTCCCTACTGGAGAACTTAGCTCCTAGGGACGGGACGGCTACAGCGCGCAGCTTGTGCCGATCCCGTGCGAGTTGTCCTCAGCTCGCTTCGGGGGAGGGAGAATATTACGGGCGCAGCCTCTTGGCTGGGCACCGAAGTCGGGGAGCGTTTTAAGGAGACAGGGGTTTATATGTTCCTGCGTGTATGTAGTGCTTGTGCAACTGGGGTTCCCTAACCAGGTCCTCTTCGTAGTCGCGCCTCGGTGTCCACCCACAACGATAGGATCGGAGCGCGAAACCGAGGATGCTCCTGGGTTTAGAGGGAAAGGGGTAGAAATCCCTCCCGCAGTACAGATGCCACTAAAGGCCAAGCACGCAGACGGAAACCTCTCACACTTCCCTACGCTAGAGCGTCCAAACGACCAGATCGTTTCTCCACGTTTTGGGTCCTTCGGAACCAAATGGTTGGGTACTGGTTCCGAGGGGTCCAAAGGTCGCCTCACACGGGGCACCAGATCTGTTATGCCAACTTCTCCAGGAAATTCCTGGAGACCCAATCCAAGTTATCTACCAAGGAAAATTGGGTGTTTGTGGCTGTGCGTAAGTTCTATACCAGTCTATACAGAGGTCGGATGGCGAATGAGACGCTCGGCTATATCCCAGGAAGTGAGACAACACGCTAGTCCTTAAATAAATGTTGTCTTTACTAAAGGTTTTTCATCAGGCATACAAAATCGGAATCATACAAATTCATACAAGCTCCTTAGTTACAATAGTACATTAGAACAATTACAGCATAGAAAATAACAAAAGCATCAAAATGGGGATGACACAATGGGGCACGGCTATACTCATCTGAGGTCCAGCTGAGGAAGAACTCTCCTCCTTGGAACGCTGGGCAGCCGAAATGCAGCAGCTTGTGAACTCCAAGGCACACAGGTAGGACCAGCCAAACCACGTGTGAGCTCTCTGGGTCGCGACTCCGGAGAACTTAGGTAGTAGAGTCACTTGTAGCACCTTAGTGCACTGCTATGG